CCGGGCCGAGGCTTTATGAAGAAGCAGAATTGAATATAACACAAACATATACATAAGTACAAATTCTAATCAAGAACTACTTACATGATATGACCAAATATACCTAGAAAATGTTTTCGTAAAATACTAGAAAAAAATAAACATTCTTTATACATATGTTGTTCATATAATATAATCAATTTTTGGAAAACATTTTTGAGATTTAATTTTCAGAGGACAAATTAATAAGCATTTACCGCCATATGACTGGCACTCAGCTAGCTGATCAATAAAAAAAAATACAAAAGGAAGATATAAAGTAAAATATACATATAATACTTTCACGGTCTATTTACATTGTTAATGAATATCAGAACGATATAAATACACAAGATCAAGCATGATGAGAGAGGGAGGCTGCAATTGGATGAGATCTTCTCATCCCTAATAACTGTAAAGATGAACCTAGAATTGGTTGTTACAACTATAAGCGATAAACAATTCCACGTGTTGCAAGAAAAGCAACAAACTTTTAGAATATCAAAGACAAGTCAGAAAAAAAAGAACAAGTTCAACAGAGACATAATATCACTTATTACAATTAAATCGTTTTCTATAAATCACGTGGCGTTTCAGTTATAAGAAGAAAATATATCTTCAATCTAACGGGGATGTTTCATCACATCGATGAACGGGATTACTATTCGCTAACTTCTGCATTAAACACTATACACAACAATGTTATCTCGACGATTGATATACACGCTTCACCAACAAAGAATCTGTGTTGTAAACCTAACATTCATCTATGCCAGTTTATAACAGGCACACTGTACATGAAATACGCTATTTTTTAAACTGAAACTCGTGCTGGATTTATAATAAGGTAGTCTGCCACAACCCCTAATTTTGACCTACTGACCAAAATGAAGGTAAACAGTCAGCAGCATCCTATGAACTAACAACCAAACTAAGGGATTGGCTATCACTCTCATATCGCATCCAGAACTTAAAACGTGGGAATATTTGGTAGTATTGTGCGTATTTGAACCCAGCTCGTCAGCTCCTAAATCCAGAAACATCCAGAAAAACGAACCCGAGCTCTCGGCTTTTGAAACAAATAATCTAACGTTAATCGTTACTAGTTTACAAGAAAAAGCGCTCTTTTTAAAATTGGAAACCTTACTGGATTACATGAGGGTGGGGTGTTTAATAACGTTTTTTTTATATATTAGTATAATGCTTCATAATACTTGCCTACCAAAAATAAATATTCGTTATCTGTTCACACTGGTACAATGTTTTCGTTACTTTTATTGATATAAAACTGGAAAATAAGACATGATGTACAGTGTAACAAAACTGAAGGTTCATGTTGACAATATTTCAACATTTAATCAATTTCCTCCTGATATTTCACATATTTTAATGCTACGTTAAAGTAAGTATCATGTTTACAACATCAACACAATCTACCAATGATACCTTTCGAAAATATTACACCTGAATCAAACATGGTTAAGTACCCGAAACGTTACCACACTCCAGCACCCGCGATATATTTTCACAATGCTACATCTAACTCAGTCACGATAATTAACCACAAACACATTACCACATTCCAGCACCCGTGATCGATCTTAACAATACTACATCTGACTCAGTCATGATAATTAACCACAAACACACTACCACATTCCAGCACCCGTGATCGATCTTAACAATACTACATCTGACTCAGTCATGATAATTAACCACAAACAACTACCACATTCCAGCACCCGTGATCGATTTCAACAATGCTACATCTGACTCAGTCATGATAATTAACCACAAACACATTACCACATTCCAGCACCCGTGATCGATCTTAACAATACTACATCTGACTCAGTCATGATAATTAACCACAAACAACGTTACCATACTCCAACACCAGTGATCGATATTAACGTTGTTGTAATCGAACATGTGCTGGGTTTTAACAATATTATATCTAAATCACACATAATTAGGTGCAAACATGTTGATACACTGGAAAAAGTGCTGGATTTTAACAACACCGAATCGAAGTCGCACAAAACGCTACCACACTATAACATAAGATCGATTTTAACAAAATTACGTCTAGAATAAACATTACAAGTAGTACACAAAACGTTAGTACACTAAAAAACAAGATGTATTTTAACAAAAATACATAATATGTTTTTTGAATTTCGCGCAAAGCTTCACGAGGGCTATCTCCGATAGACGTCCCTAATTTAGCAGTGAAATACTGGAGGGAAGGCGGCTAGTCATCACCACCCACAGCCAACTCTTGGGCTACTCTTTTATCATCGAATAGTGGGATTGAGCGTAACATTATAACGCTCCCACGGGTGAAAGGGGCGAGCATGTTTCGTGGGACGGAAATTTGAACCCGCGACCCGCACATTACGAGTCGAGTTCTCTAAACACCTGGCCATACCAGAACTATATAATATGAAAACATAACATCAGTAAACTGTTAATACTTCGTAGACTTATATATATAAATGAATTATCTGTTACATTAACACACATACACAAATAAACCAGTAATGATAATCAATATTATTGATTGTATCAATCATATATTACATGACAACTGAATGCGATTAAATTATTATTGAATACGTTATACTTACAAAATGAAATAATGTGGTCGATAAATTACCTTCTGTGGGAGACTGGATTACAACTGGCGAATGGTTGAACATAAAGTGACTAATCTGAACATTTATATGTGACTTTTGTGTAGAATATTAACAAATAACGACTGAAGACTAACCTTCCTTTACAGGTGACTTCTCTATATGACCTGGCGACTAATCTATCTGAATATTTGTATGTCACTTTTGTGTAGAATACTAACTACTAACGATCAGTTGACTAATGTAAGTATTCAGATGTGACTTTTATGTATAGTGTTAACAATCTAGGCCTGAAGACTATTTTTATATATCTGAATGTGACTTTTGGACAGAATATTGACAAGTAACAACCTTAAGACTGATGTTCCTAAGTACTTACGTGACTTTTGTGAACAATATTGACAAGTAACACTAGAAAACCGATCTTTCTAAATATTTACGTGACTTTTGTGTAGAATATTGTCATGTAAGGACTTTAAAATGACTTTTTCTAACTATATACATGTAACTTTTGTTTAAAATTTCCACAACTGACGTCTTGGCGATTAATTTTCTTAAAGATTTATATTTGTTTTTGTCTGGTAACTTAAAATGTAACAACCTAGTGACTTTATCTTAATAAATGCCAGTGTGTGTCTACTGTGAAAAACATTATCAAGAAATCAACTTTACAACATATATTTTGCGAACTGGGTTCAATTATTTTTCTTCGTCACTTGTGTTTGCATATCAATATTTTGTCAGCTCTGCGCTGATATTTTCTTATTCTCTAAACTACATTCAGACATCTAATTTCCGGACTAAATAGAACTACAACCGGTAAAAAAATAACTATTGCCATTTTCTTCTTTATATTACACAGATGTAAACTGACACTATTATTAATTAAAACAATGAGACAACGAACATACAAAAAACAATTTATCGAAAAAAACTGTTATTATATTTTGTATAGAAAGATACGAGCAGATGTTGTTTTCTTAGTACAAAGCGGGTTACCTGCACTCTTGTCTACTGTGGGAAATCGAACCTCGGATTTTAGCGTTATAAGTCGGCAAACTTACAGCTGACCCATCAGGGGACAAAGAAAAAACAACATCTAACTATTTTTGTTATATATAGATACTAAAAACATCCCCAGCAGTATGTATGAATATAAAATTTGAGATTCTATGTTCGCAGTGAGAACAGCAGAGATAGCCCACTGTACAGCATTTTGTTTAACAACAAACACACAAATACTAAAAAGTATTCAATAAATAAGTAATAATAAATAAAAACGCATATATATGCAAAATCGACCCTTATTCAATACATCAAAGTGAGACAGAAAATACATGTCAATGTAATCGTGACTTTTTTTAGCCGCGGCATAGTGGCTCATAGAACGGCTCTGAGTTTTTTTGTTTTTTTTCAAGTACAAACTTTTAACTCATAGCTTCATCTGTTAAACGATTTGAGATCTAATTAAATCCGCTGCTATTGAGGATTTCCTCTTGTGTTTTACTGTTATTTTAATAATTTTTTATTACAATTATTCAACTATAGTACTATTTGTCATTAATTTTGTTATTTTCATTACTGTTTTTTTTGTCATGAAAATAAAAAAAAATCCCTACATATTTGATTTATTTTGACTATGCGCAAACATTGAATTTTCATGATTAGTTTTTTGTTTGTTTTTTACACCTAGAGCAGATCCAGAAACACCAGTGACAACAATGTGTGTAAAGGATTGTAAAGCCTAATAGGCAGATATTTCACCACTAGATCAAGTGTTGCGGAGAAAAATTCTGAATTTCTCTCGGTCTACATTATTAGTATTACAATACTTAAAACTGCTTATCCACGTCTTCAAAAAGCATCGTTACTTAGAAATAGATCAAGTTTACTCACTATATAACTATACGAGAAATGTGTTGGAACTCTGTGTCATTTAGAAACCGACTAATCTTATCAGTGTCCTCAACTATATATCTTGTACATTAGAAAGGCGTCGTTACTTAGCAACAGAGTAAGGTTACTCACTCATGGCAACTAGTTTGCTAGAATATTTAATTACCTAGGGACACATTAAGGTTGATTCGAATATAACCCTGAAATATGTACTGAAAGATTATGTATAGTTCAAAAATTAAAAAAAAAAGGATTAAGTCAACTCCACCCCTGAAATATAAGTTATGTTAATACATAAATTGTTTTAATAAGTTTGACAACAGACCGACAGAGGGAGAATAAATTTATACTCCTCAGCTCTGAGGAACTTCCAAGTGAGAAAACTGACTGAATATGTAACACGTAACCTCGAGCCAATATTGAAAAAAAAAAAAGAGGGAACACCAGTAAACTACTAACTACCCTACGTTAACCCCCTTCTATAGCTTGCTAGACTTCAGTCATTATTCCCTATAGCGTTCCAATGTCACCTTAGATAAATCACCGGTAGAACTTTCATAATCGTTTCCTGCAGCGCGTGCACAGCCTCGAGATATTGCACACGCGCTCGAAAGCCCGGCGATAAATTGAACAGCTACACAAAGATCAGTTTGGGAATATACGCACACGTTGGTCACATCTTGTGGTTGTAGCATATTTCCTCTTACGTCGACATACATAACTTGCCAAAAGGCCGTGTACTTTAACAAATGTAACGCTCGTATAAGCGGAACCTCTAATATGACCAGTTTGTTATCTGAGAATGCCAGAACGTGTAGCCTCAAAAATAACAATAAATGACTAGAAGAACGGGAAAAGTAGTACTTCTAAATGTGAGCGACGAGCCGTATGCATGGCAAATAACATAATATATTTGCATGTAAGTATGTAATAAAAACAGATGGCGCTAGTAATGCTAAACCTAAAAAACCCATAGAATGTATTCTCATTTCAGAATTGAAAATCCGTAAATAAGAACATTAGTTGTACGAAACATTCTACGGCCATAAAGTGTTACAGTTCCGGCAAAAACAAAAAAAAAACTACAAAACATTCTTACATTATATGGCGAAAGGCTTATATTGAATGATCATTAATAACTACGATCGATGAAGTAACCATTATGTTCGATTTGATACTAATTCTTGAACTCTTTTTCAACTGTTATTTTCTGTTTGTAATTGTTTGCTAACCCTAGATTTATATCTTCTTTCTAGCAGGTGAAAATAATACGTTTCTCCACACGGTAACACAACAATCAGTTTTCTATATCTAAATTCACTATATTTCTTTTCTTGTTCGTGTTATGAACAAATAATTCACTATTTGTTCTCTTCTTTAACTTAAAATTACTGGTATACGTCATCTTAATTTATGGTACTTTATTCATTCTTCTTAACTGACCTTTCTTTCGTTGCAATAGATATATCATATTGATTGCTGTCTTAACATTTAAAAATCTCGGGATGTAACGACATCGCTTAATATCATGTTACCCCTAACGTACTTTTTTCTGGTGCTGGCGTTCATTTATTTATTTTTATCTTCGTCATCATGTTACCCCTAACGTAATTTTTCTGGTGCTAGCGTTTATTTATTTTTTATCTTCGTTATGTATTTCCAACAACAAATCAGTTAACCATAAGTCATAATTATTACTGACGCTCGTTTATATGTTTCTTTTCCTTCCATGTATTTCCAAAAGTCGTCTAAGTGTAACATCGTCTTCTCTATCTCGTCGTTTATCAAAGGGCTCGCCGTCACCACCACCACCACCAGCTCGATGTTCCTCCACAGAGCTATGAGGTATTACAGGCTCTGGATCTACTCCTGTAACCTGGCCTTACTTTTCAGCGTCCTGATCTTCGTGTCTCTCGCGGCTTGGATCCTTTCCGACCACCACATGGCCCTTTTTCCCTACATACGTTTCCACCAGCCCACCCTAGTGTATGCCTACTTTGCTCTTGCACTACAAGGTGGCGTTCTACAGGCTATTGGTTGCTGGGGGGCGGTGCGAATGAACGAACGATTTCTAAACGTCTACTGGTCAATCATGCTAGCCCTCCTCGTTGGTGACGTCATCTTGGGTATCATTTGGATCTTTCATTACAACCACATAACAGCCAACTTACGTAACGATCTGAAGTCAAGACTTCAAGTGGATTATGGGAGAGAACTGCAATTTCAAATATTATGGGATAAAATTCAGGATGACGCCAAGTGTTGTGGCGTCGACGGCCCACGAGACTACAACCACACTTTTTGGCTACGACGACAGCGACAAGACTTTCCGAAGTATCACCAAATGGTGCCATTGAGCTGTTGTCGTTTCAAGTTCGAAACTCGAATATGGGAGAGCACGTTTCAAAACCACACATGCGTTGAGAGTTATCTCGAGAGTGAAGTTTACCAAGATGGGTGCTATGATGAAGTCCAGAGATGGCTCCAAGGAAGCGCAGATTTACTGTGTGTTCTAGGGTTTTGTGTGATAGCATTCCTAAAAGTTTGTTTTCTCGGCATTCTCCGGTATGAGATACGAGAAATGATACAGAAAATCAGGATTCTCCAAGAGCTCGAGGAACCTTCTCCGCTACTTGGAATAGACTTGCAGTACGTTAGACCTTCTTTCCAAAACGACAGTCTTTCGAGGGACACCTCACAGAATAACTTCGGAAATCACCTACTATCAAATAATCACTTCCCACACGAACCGTTCTCCAAAGAAAGCTTCAAGAGCATAAACGGAAACAACAACGAAAGTGAATGTTGGGACTCCAATAAAACTAGTGCCGTTTAATATTAGAGCTGCTGAACAAACACAGACCTGATACGTGTTAACTGTTTAGCGTCCACGAGTAGCTTTAAAACACCTTTAACTGTACTTTTCGTGTTAGCCTTACAATACAGTCTAACTTAGCCATCAAAGTATTGTGTAAAAAGTAAAAAAAAAGTTAGTTAAACATTATATTATATTATGGTTATTCGTCTGACAAATATATACTTTAGCCTTCAAAAACAAAACAACCGTTTTACAACTATATAGGAGTACTGTCAGAAAGAGCTATATCAAAGTCAGCGCCATCTATTAATATATATATTGATTCAACTTATATTTTAAATTTTGAAGGTTTTCCTCAACATGACAATCTTTATTCACCTTGTTTTGTTAGTTCGTGTTTGTTTGTTGTATTTGTTTCCTGTTACTGTTCTTATTTTGAGGAAATATAACACCTACTTAAGTATTTCTAAGAAAATTCTAGATGGCGCTAAATAAGATGTACTATAATACTGCTCTCCCTAGGAAAAAACAAACACAAAACTTATAAAAACAAGGCAACGACTTGCAAGTATCTTGTCAACACTGTATATGTATGTGTACTTCATGTTTAAAAAAAGCCTTATTTTCAGTATTCTAAAAATGCGTTCAACACTGATTTATAAGCGTGTATTTTATTGTTGAAACATTTTTAAAACATATATTTCTTATCGAAAACAACGGTTCAACTAATACAATTAGTGTCAGTAATGTGTGCATGTTTCGTTAATTTAACTATTTATTTGTTAAGTCACTGTTAATGATTGAAAAGTATATAGTTTTGTTGTTTTACACAACTTGAAGTACATACTGGAAGGATTTAGACATTTTGGCATTAAAATTAGAAAAGTTCTTGTACTACTATCTCTAATGAAACCGCAATGGCGAAACGTTATTTGAAATAAAACATTTTTTTATTAATACCTAGAGAGTAAAGGTCTTGTTTTTGTTTTTTTATATTTTATTGCCGAAAAGCAGATAGGCCTGGAAATGTTAACTACAAACGCAGTTGTTTCTATTTGGAAATTTTGTTATATATGAAACGAAAGTTTCTGAAATCACAGCTGAAAAAGATATTCTTGTAAATTTTATCTTTATTCAGTCGATGCAGTAATTGAATGTTACTAGTGGATTATCTAAGTCAGTCTGCCGTGGCTTTTACTTTTCGTGCACGTAGGATTACAGTCGAATCACAGCTACGTGTAGAAAATTGTCTAATACATAGCATTATAGGGTCCTGTCAACAATTGACAAAGTGAAAAACTGACACTATATTGTTTTCTGTGCGATGGAATAAAACGATTGTTTTTTCTCTCGCTAGGACTCGTTCGATTCGACCGAGTTCGTAACCCCAAAGTAACCATCAGCTTCCATACTACAACTTTTAATATGTTTTGTGTATATTTACGAAATTTGGCAAGCTTTCAGTAAACATTGCAAGTCTTTTGTATACAAAAGATCAGATTTTCTAATTAAAACAGATTTCCTACTCCGAACTTTAATTTGAAATTATAAGAATATATTACATTATCAAAAACAAAAACAAAAAAAAACACAATACAATTACTCCAGTATTTTCAAACTATATGTTTAGAATGACTTATGTAGGATAGATGAAATAGATATTAAAACAGAGGTTGTTTCTGCCACAAACATACAATTTCTCCTTTGCCTGTGGTTTGTAAATGTTATTCGGTAATCAATAGTTCCATGTGATGGCGCTACTAGGAGGTGTGTGTGTATTTTTACTGTTATTAAACCCGTTTCAATGTTAATTACATTCAGTTAAGTCTAAAAAACTGGCTACATCACAACTTCTTTTAAAAGGCAGAATTCCCCGTACACCACACTGCGCCCCACCTTCTTCTAGATTTTGAATTTAGTATAAGGTACCCGAATATCTTCAAATTGTTGAACTTTGAGATGGTAAATGAGTGACTCCCGCCTTTTTCGTAATTATGAATCCTCCTTACAAGATGGTATTCGACATTTTCTATAGCGGTACAAAACTAGATACCGCTTAAATGGCACACACACAGAATTATACAACAATTTAAAATAAAAACAAAACTGTATTCATAACAAACGACGAAACGGGGAATAAATATCCAACATCTGGAGTTGAACATAGTTTCGTGTAACGTTGCTTGAATGCATAAGCAACATACAACAACAATAAAATATTTGTGTGAACGACTTGATAATACACAAAGTACAGTGAAAGCTAATTTAGTATTGTTCATCAGCAAATGATGGCGCCCGCTTTAGGCTAATTTGTGGAATATATGTTATGCTTCAAAAGATTAAACTACTGTTGTTCCACACTGGAAGAGAAAGCTAACAACATGACCGAATACAGAAGAGCAAACAGTCATTACTGCCTACATCTTTCGTGTTTCTAAACTCTACCCTTTAAAAAAACGTATTACGTAATAAAAACTTACCAACGTATATAAACCATTGTTACACACAATATTCACCATAAGGATGTCAAAGATTCCCTCTAAAAATAACTTTGTAGAGTACATCATCTGGTCAAACTTAATGCAACTCACAAATATACACTAACTATTTATCTAAACATCATGATGTTACCATAGTAACATAAACTTTCTCCATAAAACAACCTGAGATAATATGTTACGTAATAAAACTAGCTCACTAATTACGGGCAAAGTAGCAAATTGGATATAGTTATCGTGTATTATGAACCATGTCTATACAGAAAAAATTAAAGAATGCATTACGTAATAAAATTTACATATATATGTTTCATTAATAGGCCTTAGAATAAAAAAGGACTAGGCTTAAAGGGCTTTTAGATCTGTTGTACTCAAAGCCTTACTGCTTCCCACTGTTCAATCCTGTTGTTTTAGAATAACACTATCCTTTCAACTCAGGTAAAAATTTAATTGGTTTAACACTGAACACCTTTATACGAGTTGTTTCGTCATAAGCATAACTCAGTGATGTTAAAATGTGTCACATGATTCAGTAATCTTTTAGGCCTCTTATGTGCTGCAGCATTATATGTCAATTGCATGAAGGTTGTTGGGTTGGTTAATCTTCTGCATCAGGAAACAAGATGTAAAGTTACCAATTGTAAGGAATAGTGAACGTAGTTAAAATTTGGAGCACACTGTTAGAAATTGAATTTTGTTGCATTTGATTGATGTACATGTTGCAAACTAGATATAAATTTATATTTGTGTTCTTTGTTATGTTACGTAATAGAAAAATACTGCCATGCCAGAATAACTACTATGGTTCTTCGCATAGGCGTAGGGGCTTGATTTTGACCGGGGGGCGGGGCAAGCGAGTTTTGCCTGAAAATTTTAAAATTGACCTTAAAATCATGTACTATAAAGTTTAAAAAGCGCTTGAAAAAAATGGTTGCAATGACTTCCATGCGGAACTATACGGCACTAAAGGGTTAAAAAAGTGCAAGTGAAAATGTCACGTATGGATAATATATTTTCTAAAGAGGCATAACCAATTTGCAAACATTAAAGTTATAGATGTGTACGGAGCTTTTGCCCGAATACTGGGGGACAATTACCCCCTCTTGATCCCCCGCCTCCTACGCCTATGGTTCTTCGCTCACATGTCAAATATATAACTAAACAAAGTACTTAGCCTCCAACTGGAAAAAAGAAATATATATAGTTTTTGTACCCATGTATATACATATACATTTTCCATAAATTCATTTGATCGGTTTCGTAGAACAAGATCTATTTTTCAGTCTGCAGTTGTTCTTTTACAATCAATCAGATATAGTTTAACTACATCAGTGTTAAAAGTAAAAATTCATCTTTTTTTTTTCAGTTCGTTTTTGTTAACTAACCAGTTTTTACCTATAACCTGTGAATTGGGTGATATTTAAAGAATAGCCCCATTGCTATACCGGTTTTATTTTCACCAAACTCATTTCCTTAATTAACTTTTAAACGATTTTAAATGTTTTGACATCTTGTTTTTGCATTGAATGTCTGCAAAAAACAACAACAACACATAATTTTAAAACAAATATTTTAACACATCTACTAATACAACTACACGCGTAAAAATAAAATGTGTCCACATGTAATTTTTAAATCACTTTTATAATAATGATAACTAGCTGGACCCGTGGAAATTCCACGAGTGTTGACAACCAAGATATCATCATCACTTTCGCATATATATATTTCTACAATTAAAGTATATAATTGTAATGATATACATACTTTCCTGGAAGCAACTTCAAGCTTTATTTAATAATTTTTTTTTATTTGTATATTTTAAATTAAAATTAGTTGTTGAGCCAAAATAGTTTCATTTGCCTTTGAAAGTTATTATAGTTAATAAAACCTACTGGGATACTAAAAAATAGTTATGTCGCAGTGGTAAATCCGATAGCATTGCTGCTTGGACACGTGAAAGAACATATTTTTTGGCAGTTATGTTTACAATGTGAAGGAAATCGGTGAAGTAGTTTTGGAGAAATATAATTTTTAATTTATTTTTGTTGACCTGCAGGACGTGGACCCAGTTACAGACCTCTATATATAAGCTGGACCTGTGGAAATTCCACGGGACAACTAAGGTATCATCATTACTCTCGTATATATATATTTCTGCAATTATATATATAATTTTGTTAAAGTAATTTATTACTTATGGAATATATCTACCGGTCAGAAAGCGTAACGGTCGTGCATACAAACAAGCAGAATAATAGTATAATGAATATGGCGCCACCTAACGGCTTAATTTGTTAGTAACATAGATGCTAAAAATATCGTTAAAAGCGGGAATACGCAACAGATGAAACAATGCATTATCATCACTATAAATAATGCAGTTTAAGCATTACATTTAATTAATTAGGCCTCTTACTAGGTATGTGTTTTCAGTCCTGATCTATGTAGGTAGCTTGATTTGATTAGAATTTATTATTAAAACGTTAAAAAGCTACTAACTACATAAACACATTTATTTAGATATATAAAAGTAAGAAATGGCTATGCTATGGTGGAGTTTCCTTTAGTTGAAGTTTAAGATAATTCTTAATAGCAACGCCATTGACAATTGTAATTTATTAGTATTATCTTATTTACGAATACTTACACGGCAAAAGAAATTCGAGTCTCAAAAGCATTTTCTGCAACAGCAGATTATTTTTATATATAAAACACTTAACAATAACTTGTGAATAATTATAAAATGTTTAAAATTAGGACTGAAGAGTGAGCTACATTGTAGATTTGTTAGCCATTTTTCTAACGTTATATAGAGTTTAAAATAAGATGTTGACTACAGATGTGGTAAAGTGGTGCTAGTATATATATATATATATATATATATATAT